AGTCAAGGTTCCCAGAGGACTACGGGCCAGCTGCTGCAGACGGCCTCCATTCAGCCATCACAGCACCCTGTCCCTGTGCTGCCCAAACCCGCTCCACACCAGCCCTCCACGCCCAGCCAGCAGGCCACCATCTTCCACTCCACCATCAGCCCCCACGCCCTCCACTCCTCCCTCAGCCATGCCAAAGCTCAGCCTGTCCAACTAACTGCCATCAACCTTCAAATACAGCCAACAGTGAGTACATCTATACACACACACACACACACACACGTGTGCACCAGTTTCTAAAACAAATGAGCATCTGAACAATGCAAGTTTTGTTTTGTTAAATCCAACTGTTGCAGTGATGAAACCTTCAGAAAGACTAAAAAGTAGGTCTGTAAATGCAGGCAGTGGGTTGTGCTTTATCATTTGGTCGGTGACATTTAGTTTAGTTTCCCCAGAATGATGCTAAATGATTTTGTGTATTGTAAAGATCACGATGGTACAGCACCATTGTTCCAGTCTTTAAGGAAAATCCTTTGTAATTATAACTTAAAAGCAAAATTATTTATTTGTGAACCTATACTTTTAGAATCTTCAGTTTAAGGAACATGAATCTTATTATAGTCAAATAAGAGTCCTTTCTCCAAAATAAACTTGACTATTTCTATACACAACTAGACTTGACACTCTATCCCTTACTCATAGCAACATAACTACATTATCCTTTGTAGGTGTTTCCCTGATTGTGTAATGGATTTCGTTCTTTTTGATTTTTTTTTTTTTTTCTTTAAACCTCCATTTGGTTTTAATGGGGCATGGCGTTCTGTCGTATTTAACACCCCTAATATTTGTTAGTTCACATCCTTGAATATGGTAACCAGCAAAACAAAAACTACTGTTCCAGCAACACACACACACAATCCATTTCAATTTCAGGACATTGTTTTTAAAAAAACAAAACAAAACAAAAAAGCACAATCTTCAGAGTTTAGGGTTCCTGGTGCAGAATTTTCCCCACAGGTGTGATGTTTTCCAAGCTTAATGGATTTAAATTTTTGAGTGACTGACTTCCTTAACAGTCCCTCTAGTGACTTTTTATTATTGCGTCATACACTTTGTCACGTTTTTCTCACATTCATCTTAATAGGCCTCTCGACTGGTTCAGGACAGTAAAGATAAGCCGACCTCACTTGTGGTCAGAGAGACGTGTCCGACTCCCTCCACGCAGCAGCAGCAACAACAACAACAACAACAACAACAACAGCAGAAGCAGCAGCAAGCTGTGCTTTCCCCATCACAACCCACCAAGTCTGTAGAGCAGCCCAAGGTCGACACAGCCACCCCAGCTGTTCAACCAGAAGGTAATGATTCAGCAAGATTTTCTAGGCCACTAAATTTATCTCTGTGGGGTACTCGAACATTTTGGTAAATTCCAGCTTTTTAGCCACTGGGACAATAAGAGTTGACCACAACTTTTCACCTTGGCACAGAAAATGCACTGTAACATCAGCTCTGCTCTGGTTGAATTGGCCAACTCTTGCCAGCTTCAGTGGAGAAGAAGAAAATCAGTGATTATGTTGACTATTAAGCCAACATGCTGTGTCTACAGCGCCTTTAGTTTCACCGTTCCTCGTCTCTTATTGGTTTGTTGTGTGTTGATTTCTCTGAGCTGTGACCAAGAAGCTCACCTGATACCCACAGTTTACTCACTCACCCGTGCATGACAAACATCCAAAAGCCCTGAACATATGACAAACAATTTGGAATGGATGCAGTAATGTAGCCAGACTCCTAATGGGTATTAATTGTTTTGATTATGTCTGAACAGTCACCTGCAGTTGAAAGTGGGCACATTTTTGGCACACACTGTTCTCTGTAGGAGTGTGTACTATTGGCCTGTCAACAGTGATCGGGGAACGTCCACGGTCATATTTTTCCTGCACCTCTTTACATACATGAAGCATGTTACCAGCTCTGGCAGCAGGGGCTGATGAAGATATGGCCAAAGTATTAGGATAATGTAACATTTAAGGAAAATGACTCCAGACAAAAGAGGGGTTTTTTTGTTTTTGTTTTTTTATACTGAAAGTGGCTTAGAGAGTACAACGAAATATGATCTACACTGAATTTATTCAATTCAGCTTCTGTTCTACTGTAAGTCATCTCTGAAATATTAAAATATAAGTGTATAAATAGATTAGTGGACATTATTATAGAACACTGAACACAAATGACAGGATCTGTCAACTCTAGCACACTCACTTATACAAGCCCAGCATTATAACAACACGAGCGACTGCCTTGATGGGGCTGTCTCAGCTACCTGTAACTCATGAAATGTAAATTCAGAAATGACACCATATTTCTGCTGTTTGCCTTGTGATTATCGCAGTGGAAAGATAAAACTGTTGCTGTGATGGCTTCCCAGAGATGTTAAATGCACTCTCAGAATAAAAACAAACAGTGCAGTGTACTGGCATCTGGACTTCATTCCATTTGCATGTGGCAGCAGACTGGGTTAGCACTAAATCATCTTAATTCTGCAAAAATGCATAGTTATTTCCTATTATAAAATACAGTAATACAGAAAACGTTGTCTAGGGGCCAGAGTAAGATGATGGAAATAATGATGTACAATGCATTCACAAACATTTCATTACTGGGTATGTACAGTTTCAAGACGATGGGGCCATTGATGCTGCCGAAGTACGGGCCCCGGATTTCTGTGTTACGCCACTGCTAAAGGAAATGCGGTTATAGTTGTTCGGACAAATTAAATGACTTTGTAGTAGGTAGACGCTGGAAGCACTTGAACTGTAATCCAGTCTCGGGTTGAAGCATAAAGCATGCTGACAGGCAGCAGCAGCCGGAGGAGGATCCGAGCTGCTCGTTTGCTGCTGCGGGAGGAGACGCGGAGGCGGACCCTGGACGAAACCTTTTCGCCTGCGGTCGAGGCGGCGCTGCAGCTTAAACTCGGTCTCCGTCGCAGGCAGCAGCACATCGGCGTGTGTTGCGGTCTGGGGATCATCACAACAAACAAACCAAACCGCACATGTTTGTGTCTGAACAGAGCCGAAGTTGACGCGGTAAGAAAACTCTTCTCATTCAACACTAGTGGCGTTGACGAAGATGACAGCATGGCGGCGCGATGTGTACTTTGGCTTTGTGTGCGTTTGCGCCAGGACGTTGTGTTGTTTGGAGGTAAACATGGTGATGGATTTCCTGCATACTGACCGACGGTGTGCCAGCACGTCACGTCATGTGTGTCTGTTGTCGGAACGTTGTTTAAATTAGCGCCATCTGAACTGGTTTGTATGTAGAGAACTGGTGTGATAACTGTTTCGTTTGTGTAAGATAAGGTTAGAAGAGAGGCTGGATCAGTGGCTGGTGCCTCTGTGCCATCGTCTGCGAGACAATAATGACCCATTACATTAATTAAAACGTTGGCTGGTGTTATTTAGTAGAAGCTTGGAGACATTCTGGCAGGTTTTTAATTGGGAGCAGCTTTGTAACTCAAATAATAAGGTGGTTAAACTGAGTTGAAGATTTACCTTCCACAACATAAGTTTCCTTATTGGTTAAGATGATTGTTTCCTGGATTAGTTGCTTGATCTGTGTAACATGTCAGGAAATACTGAAAAATGTCCACTACAGGTTCCCAAAGCCCAGAGCAGTGTCTGTAAGTGGCTTTTAAAACAAGAAAAAAGCCAAACATAATTTCCCAGAGACCAGAGAAGCATATTCAGACCAGTAGTCTGAAATGTTCAGTATTGTATAGAACAAGGAAAAGCATCAAACCTTCATGTGTATGAAGGCTGGACTTTAAAAGTGGCTGAGGCAATATGTTCTTTTATTTATTATTTTCTCAGCTTGAATATGACTCTGTTCACTAGTGACCATTCCTCCTCAATACACAGAGTACATGCTATTGTATATGAACAGGATGGTGTTTTGGTCAGGTGGAGGCTCAATCAAGAGACAGAGTGCTTCACCTGGGACCCCACCTCCAGCCATGACCTCAGGAAATGAGAGCGAGGCGCCCACTGTGACAGGCAGCACGCCGCAGAACGGAGAGAACAAACCACCCCAGGCCATCGTCAAGCCCCAGGTCCTCACACATGTCATTGAAGGCTTTGTCATTCAGGAGGGAGCTGAGCCGTTCCCTGTGTGCGTAAGTGCCCAGTCGCAGCAACACAATACACAACTCAGAGCAACTACACTCTCCAGTGTACACGCCTGCAGGGAGCTGTCAGCAGGCAAACACAAACGCTCTGTTACTACTAGTAGTGACAGCTCAAGCTCACAGCTTCTGTTTTATTCAGTCATTAATTATAGTCAGGTGGGACTCTAGCTGTGAAACGGTGCAGATGGATGAAAGCGTGTGTGGGTAATGAGCTGCACATTGCAACATCTCACATTTTCTCAAGGTGTAAAAACCCTTAATTTGCCATTGCCTTTTAGTTTGCTAGATTTTTATATCCAATAATAATTTATCCAGTGTATTGTGTGTCTTTAGTTGACATTTGTTTCATTCCACCCAGTCATTAAAGAGCAAAAATGTGACTGAACAAGATTTTAAGTGCAACATAATGAGGTGTTTGTCATTAGTAGGCTTTGGGCTCACTGCCCCCTGCTGGACATATGATGTAAATGCTCATGTTTACACGCATACAACCAATGTAATTCATGTTAAGTATGAAAGATCATAGTATCTGCAGTATATTGCAGACACAGTGATCTGATACTTTTAACTAGAGCTGTAATTGATCATTATTGATTGTTGGTGTATATTTTTTCTATTAGTCACTTAGGAGTTTATCATGAAAAAGGGAAACTGCACTTATTACAAGAGACTTTTTGTTTTAAGGATTTCTTAAAGAATTGTCAAAACTGGCAACACACAACAAAAAATGTTCCCAGATCCCACAGTGCCACTCTAAAATGTTTTTAGTTGCCAATGAGTAGTCCCTCAGATTAACTAATCCAATCCAACTAATTGTTTCAGCTCTACAGGATATACACATGGAAAGTAGGCTTTATAAAATGAGGCAGTCGTATAACTATCTTGTCAGCCACGGCCTCATTTGCATTGTCTGTCTCTCACTTTTGGAGCATATGCCATTTACAGTGGCACTGTAATTTTGGTACAGTGGTAAATATTTTGTACCCGACACCAGGTGGAGCGCCTGCCCGTTCTTATCGACAGCCCAAAGAAGCTGGATCATCAGCTCTCCTCAGACCCTGACAAAACACCGGTCAGCAACGCAGCAAACAGCGACTCTGAGCCCGAGGACATGAACCAGCCAGGTGAGAGAGAGAAAAGGATGTGTGAATCTGTATGTGTAGCACCGAGCTAGTACTGAAGAAGCCGGCGGTGCACAGATCGCACTTTTCCTGAGACTAGTTAAAATTGATGGGTTTGTTAAATGCTGTCATTATTGGTGTATCCCCAAAAAACGTTTAGCAAACTTGTATTCAGTGTGTTATAAAACATGTAGGCAAAACTGCTCTGACCTAAATTAGAAACGTGGCTGCTGAAGAGCAGACTGAAATGCTTTCAGTGGACAATGAACCTGTGACAGGTGTGAGTGAGCCGGAGCACAGCCGGGTCCTGGACAAGTATCCACATGATATCCAGCTTAACCGAAAAGAGGTGCCACTCACAGTTTGAGTCAGTTGGGCTTTACTTTTGAAAGAGCAGTGTTGTTCTGGAGACAGTCTAATACCTAGTGTGTGTTGTTTGCCCTCCCACAGATAAAGAACAGGAACCCAAGCTGACATGTGAATACTGCGGCTGGGTCGACTTTGCCTACACCTTCAAGGGCTCCAAAAGATTCTGCTCCGTGGTTTGTGCAAAGAGGTAAGCCACCTTGGATGCAGTGTTTCAGTTCATTTAACCACCAGCTGTTCCTCTTGTAAATAAATGAATGCCCTAATAAAGAACCTTTCTGGGCAGGTACAATGTAGGCTGTACGAAGAGGATGGGCCTTTTTCATCCGGAGAGGACTAAACCAACGAGTCGCTGGCGTAGAAAAGCTCAAGGCCGCTCTAATGTAGAGGCCAAGAAGCAGGTACAGAAACAAGCACACACACTTAACTGTTGTAAAACTTCCTCATCAACACTTTACCTTCCCCTGCATATTTTATAGCCTGCACACTCATGCCTCCTGTGTTTTAATGAACTTGGGCATCACTTGTCAGTGCCTGATAGTCCCCCTCTTTTTTTAAAAGGTCA